TAGACAAGCTGAACTGACAGAGAGTAAAAATTGGTAATCATTTTTTTCTTTTTATTTTTGAAAGTCTTTATTTATTTTTTCCAAACTAGTGCTTTTACAAGTGGTAGAATGGGGTTAATATGTAGATGATCAACTGACTTTTTAATGCTTTGTAAATACATTGTAATTCTGTGTGTCCTTTGTGCTAGCGTACTCAGGACTAGGATGCAAAGTGTAGTGACCCTGCTTCTGTTCCCTCTCCCTCGGGAAACTAGGAGGGGAGGCCTACTCACTCTGGTCTAGGCATAAGGCTATGTAGGATTTGATGTGTTGTTTGGGACCAGAGTAGTGGTTTGTGTTTGAAGTCTGGAAATGTGTCTTCATCTTTGGGGTTCTGCAGACTTCTAGCATTATGTTGGGGATGGGAGTTGTGGGGTTCCTGGCTTCACATGCACTCCTCTCAGGAACAGAAGCTTCCTTCTGTCACCCAGGCTTTGTGTTCCTGTACTGAGGCTTCATAAGTGTACATTTTTCTGCTGGTGAAGTTCTCTACACTTCATTGAAACTGAAAGCTGTGATGCAGATCACTTGACCACTTGGTTTTGGGGATAGCAGTGGTTTCTTGAGGGATCTGCACTCATAATGGAGGAAGTCAGAGTGCTACAATGTTCCAAAACAGTCTGCATCTACCCCACCCCAGCCCCTGTGGGTTGCTTCTACAGAATGCCATTGCATTGGGGTCAAATCCTCACTCCAGTAGCCAGGAGTTCTGCTGCTCTGATCCATGGGAAGGTCAAGGAGAGAAAGAAGTTGGGATAGAGCCACAAAGAACTTTGCTCTTCATGTAAACCTGGGGGTCATCCAGCACACTGCCCCTGTGTCCTTACTGCCAGTCTTAAGGATGGCTGTGCTGTTGTGTGGCTGCCCACCCACATGCAGTCTCTGTAGATGCTGTCTAGACAGTGGTAAAAGCTAACAGAGGGGAATGTCCTCATATGTTCTGTAGTGCCTTGGTGTTCCTGCCCAAATGCAGGCATTGATGCTAGGTGGGAAAGTGTGTACACTACAGTAAAGTTCTGTTTCTAACTCCAGCTGGAGTGATGCCTGTTTACTGCCTTGTTTAAACTTTGTTTCCCTTTTGAGCCAAGAACATAAGACCATAGAAAGGCTTTAATTTCTTTCCACTTGCCTTTCTGTCTTGTGACAAAAAACTGGAGACTCAACCCACATCAGTGATATTTAACTTGCAACATGAAATAATTGAAAATAGAAGCTGTTCTCACTGGGCAACAGACCATACACCCAGAAATCGCTGAGGTTGTGAAAGGTCTGTAGCCCATGCCTTGAAGCATAATACATAGACATGTGTGTGGTTTTTCATACTGTAAAGGAGGCAGGTGGCCTGATTAAATTTAGCATTTATTTGGGAACAAAAGTGTCATCTCTGGCTACTGCAGATGAGACAGGTGCTCTGGTGGCCCAACAGCTATTGAAAATGCAGAGAGCTGGCATCTGGAATTCCTTTTAAGCTGTGCACCTCTGCTGCTAAGGGCCAGAGTCTGCTGGCTCTGCTGAGTCTTGGGAGACACCTGAGAGATCAGCAGTGAGCCCAGAAGGTCCTGAGTGAGCTAAATGTGCATCAAGATTATCAGGAGCTTCTTCATATTTTTTTTGTTTACACTGCTAGAGATCAAACCCAGGTCCTCATGCATACTCAGCACATGCTCTATGACTGGGATCTGGCCCCATCCCACTGTGGGATTCTAAAAGCCCAAGTCCTGGATGCTTCACTACAGCGGGCTTCAGAAAGTTGAAAGAGGCACAGGATCCTGCAGTAGGGACAGTTTCTCTTGCGTAGCCCTTTGGGATTACTGAGGCTAAACTTGGACTATCTCAGAGTAAGTGCCCTCAGAGAGAAAGACCCCACCTCACGTGGCCCAAGATTATTCCCAGATGGTTCCTCAAAGGTGAGCCCTGGGGGACATCAAGCCCCATCCCTCCCTCAAACCTTCCAGAGCAGGGAGCCTATTCACACATCACCACACAGACACTCTCTGACCTTTCACCCTGACCTTGAGGAGCTCTGCCAAGCTCAATTTTTATACTACACATAGGGGAGGCAGGCTCCTCTGCAGCTGTAGTGGTTCAGTAAATAGAGTGGTATTATTTTCTTACCTGAAGGTGAAAGAGGTGAGGGCATCCTCTACTTGACAATCATCTTAGCAGTGAAGAGCAAGCATCCCTGTGGCTATGGGGTGCCCTGGCTTCTTTGGGAGCTTCCCAGGATTGGTCAATGGAGAACACGCAGGGTGGGCCACACAGGTGGCAGAAGGTGATCTGGGGATTGAGGTGTCCTAAATGGACAGGAGGCCAAGTAACTGCTAGGTGGGGAGCCTGGGAACAAGGCTTCCCCAAGAGGAGGTCAGTCTTTGCTGGGCAAGATCCACCAGCTGGAAGACCTGGAATGCCCATCCTAAGACAAGAGCAAGGTACAACCTCAAGGTGCCCAACTCACAGTGCTTGGACATAGTGTAGCACCCCTCCTCTGCACTTGGGTGCATTTGCATTTATGGTGTTTTGTTCTTTTTGTTATTTTTCACTTGTAGATGGACAAATACCTTTATTTTTAATTTA